AGAAATAATAGGAATAATGATGGGAAGTTTCTTTGTATAAAAAATATATATACACGCATATGTTATGACATTGTATATATTGTTATACATGCATATATATAATCAAATAAGAAATGCATTATAATTTCTAAAGGTACAAAGGATCTACACTGGGAAGCGTCCCTACCTTTCCTGTCCTCCTAGCCAGAAATCCTGATCCAGAAACAGCCATTTGTGAAACAGCTTCTTGTGTAGCCTTCCAGAGATAATTATTCATATGTAAACATTTATATAAATATTCATTGAAAAACACAAATAATATATGGACTGTTCTGGACCTGGCTCTTTTTTTTAAATTACAGTATGTCATACAGATTGTTCTGTATCAGCACATAAAGAGCTGCCTCATTTTAATGGCTGCACAGTGTTAGTAGTCCATTATGGAAAATAACGTTTAACATTCCATTCCATTATATGAAATGTAATTAAGATTATTGATGTTTATTTATATGTTTTATTAGTATGATTTGTAACATTTATTAATAGTAGATGAATATTTAAGCAGCCTTCCACTGATAAACTTAGATTGCTTTCTATCTTTTGCTATTTCAAACAGTGCTAAAAAATTTTATCATTTGCATCCATGTAAGTATATCTGTAGAAATGAAGGACTGCTAGGTCGAAGTATATATATATATACATTTGTCATTTTGATAGATACTGCCAAAATGTCCTTCATTTATATTACCACATCCTCAGCAGTAAAATGCGCTTATCAAACTTTTTGATAGTCTTTAGTCTAATTGGTTAAAATGCTTTTGCGTGGCTGGAACTTGTGTTGCTGTCATTTGAGGAAGAGTGATCATTTTTTCATATGCTTAAGAGCCATCTGTATTTCCCTTTCTGTGAGCCATCTGTTCATAGTCTTTCTCCTTTTTCTTTTTTGGGCAGTGGATTTTTTTTTTTATTCTAATTGACTATAGAAGCTCTACACATGTATAAAAAATTAGCCTATTGAGTTTATGAATTGTAGGACTTCTCACCCCATCCCCCATTCCTTGATTGTCGTTTGGTGCTTATGGTGGAGTTTTTGTTGAAGATGATATCAGTTTTGTTTTTATGTACCAAATTTATCAATCTTTGTTTTATACCTTAGTGGCCCAGTGGTTAAGAGCTCCACTGCTAACCAAAAGGTCAGCAGTTAGAATCCACCAGTCGCTCCTTGGAAACTCTATGGGGGCAGTTCTACTCTGCACTGCAGGGTCACTATGAGTCGGAATCGACTCGACAGCAGTGGGTTTGGTTTGGTTTGGTTTCACAGGAAGGCCTGCCATTCTAAGATCATAAACACAGATTTTCCATGTGTTTTTGTAGTGCTCTTATGACTGCATTTTTCACAATTAAACATTTGATTCATCTAGAATTTAATTAAGATTAAAAGGTATGAGGTAATTAAGATTAAAAGGTATGAAGTAATTAAGATTAAAAGGTATAAGGTAGGTAGTCTTTTTTTTTTTTTTTAAGATGGTTATCCAGTTTACTCCAACTGTTTATTAACTTATGCACCTTTTGGTCTCACTTGCCATTATTTTCCCATTGTTTTATCCTTTTATTATTATTATTAAAAATTAGGTTTCTTCTGTTGTATTTTTGTATTTGTGTGTGTAAGCTATAATTTGAGTATATTCACTCTCTACCCTGCCCCTTTATTAAATTCTTATGTCGTTTGTAGTAGTTTTTCTGTTGATATTTTTGCAATCATTTTATCTGCAGCTGATCTCCATTCCAATTTTGGTTCTTCTTTCCTTTCCATGTCTCATGTCACTGGCTAATACAGGCTGAACAATGATAAATAGTGGTAGTAGGAATCTGTTATGGATTGAATCGTGTCCTGCCAAAATGTGTGTCAGCTTGGCTAGGCCATGATTCCCAGTGTTGTGTGATTGTCCACCATTTTGTCATCTGAGATGATTTCCCTGTGTGTTGTAAATCCTACCTCTATGATGTTAATGAGGCAGGACTCAATCTACAAGCTAGGTTGTACTTGAATCAGTCTCTTTTGAGATAAAAAAGAGAAGTGAGCAGAGAGACAGGGGGACCTCATACCACCAAGAAATTAGTGCCAGGAGCAGATCACGTCCTTTGGACTCTGGGTCCCTGCGCTGAGAAGCTCTTAGACAAGGGTAAGATTGATAACAAGGACCTTCCCCCAGAGTCAACAGAGAGAGAAAGCCTTCCCCTCGAGCTGATGCCCTAAATTTGGACTTCTAGCCTACTAGACTGAGAGAATAAATTTCTCTTTGTTGAAGCTGTCCACTTGTGGTATTTCTGTTATAGCAGCACTGGATAACTAAGACAGAATCACAATGAGATGGAATCGACTCAACGGCAATGGGTTAGTAGTAGAAATAGTAGTAGTGATGTCTTGTCCTGACTTTAATGGTAACATTTCTAGTCTTTCATGATTCAGCAATTTAAAAAAGCCTCTCTCCCTCTCTCTCTCACGCGTGTATGTACGTATGTATACATATGTGTGTATATATACAGTGAAACCTGTGAGAGCAAGAACTCAACGGGACTGTTTTGTTTTACTGGGTCTGGAACGTTTTCCACCTTTGACAGGGTGTGCTGTTACCACTCTTCTATCACTCGTTTTAGTGGGAAATATTTGAGTTTTCCTTCTCTGACAAGTCTCCACATTTCAAAGGTACTGGCTTTCACAGATTTTACTGTATTTGTGTGTGTGTGTATCAAGGAAATACCCAACAATTCTCTTTTTGTTAAGCATTTGTATTAAGAATTAATGTAAGTGTTCTAAAACTGATTTCTGGTAATGGTTGTACCACTTGGTAAAATTACTAGAAATCATTGAGTTGTACACTTGAAATGGGTAAATATTATGATATGTAAACTATACATCAATAAAATTGTTTAAAAAAAATGAATGTAGTATTTTATCAAGTGCTTTTTTAGTATTCATGGATATAATCATATGCTGTTTCACTTTTGATCTATTCATATGGTGAATTGTTTTATTAATCCTCATATAATTTATATGCTGGGCAACATTTCATTCTCTTATACATAAGGTTGCCATGAGCTGGAGCTGACTCAGTAGCAGCAAACAACAGCAATACCTAGAATAACCCTTACTTATTCATAGTATGTTAATCTTTTTATGTGCCACTCAATTCTCTTTGCTAATAATTTTATTTAAGGTTTTGCATCAGTAGTTAGAAGTGAGATTTATTTGTAGTTTCCTGTTTTTTCTATTTTTGTTGGATGGTGGTACCAATATTATACCCTACTTTTTAAATAAGAATTTTGAAATTCTCCTTTTTATGTGGTTTGGAGTAATTTAAGTATTATTAGAATTACCCTTTAAAAATTTGTTAGAATGCCCCTGTGAAACTACCTAGGCCTTGTTTTATTTATTTAAAGTCCCTAGGTGGAACAAAAGGAGCCCTGGTGGCACAGTGGTTAAGCTCTCGGCTGGTAACCGAAACTTTGGTGGTTCGAGCCTACCTAGCTGTGCCACAGAAGAAAGGCCTGGCGATTGGCTTCTGTAAAGGTTACAGCCAGAAAACCCTATGGCACAGTTCTACTCTGTAACACATTATTTATTGGTGGGGCAGGCAGGGAGAGTTGCTCTTTGACTTCTTGTATTTCCTCTGTTAAATTTTGTTCTGTGTGCATCCTTAAGTATGTATCTATTATTTACTGAACATCTTCAGTTCATACTGTGTCCCCCCTGAGAAAGAGTGGAGTGATTGTTATTCTGGGGGTTATTAGTGTTTTCAGTAGTGGTGTCTCTTTCCATATATTCATTGTTTTATGGTATTTGGAAGTCATGTCTATCCAGATTTAGATATTAAGGATTATTTCATATTCTTCTTTTTGGAATGGTGTCATGGATTGAATTATGTCCCCCCAAAAATGTGTGTATTAGTTTGACTGGGCCCTGAGTCCAAGTATTATGTGGTTGTCTTCCATTTTGTGATTGTAATTTTATGTTAAAGAGGAGCAGGGTGGGATTGTATAACACCCTTACTAAGGTCACATCCCTGATCCAATGTAAAAGGGAGTTTCCCTAGGGTGTGGCCTGCACCACCTTTTATCTCTCAAGAGATAAAAGGAAAGGTAAACAAGTAGAGAGGTGGGGACCTCATACCATCAAGAAAGCAGTGCCCAGAGCAGAGCGCCTCCTTTGGACCGGGATTCCTGCCCAAAGAAGCTCCTAGTCCAGGGGAACACCGAAGAGAAGGCCAACAGAGAGAAAAAGCCTTCCCCTGGAGCTGACACCCTGAATTTAGACTTTTAGCCTACTTTGACTGTGAGGGAATAAACTTCTCTTCGTTAAAACCATCCAGTTGTGGTACTTCTGTTATAGCAGCACTAGATGACTAAGACAAATGGTGACGCTGTAAACTGTACTATCTGTGTATCCTGCTCTGTGGGACATTATTTCCATCTTTACACTTGGCCAGTAGAGCCCAGTTTTATGATTGGTCATATGGCAGACAGCAGTGTCATCCTTAATAGACACAATTGATTTAGCTACGTCTTTTACTTTATAGGTACTCAGTAATTTTAGAGAATTAAATATTTGTTTAGTGAATGCTGTGTTTTCATTTGTGGAGGATATAAGAAGCATGCTTCCTGTATACAAAAGAGATTATATCTTGAATGGATAGACAATATATGTTATGAATACAGAATTGAATTAAATAATTATTGTAAATATATCTATTCAGAGATACTAAAGGGTACAATTTTACATACTTGCCGTGGGAGAATGAACTTGAAATAATTTTTGGATAGAGTGAAAAGTAATTCATTTCCCCTTATATCCTGGCCAGGATTTACAAACAGAGAGAGAGCTAGAATTGTTTTAGCAGTATTTATGCTTTTCCATACCCTAGCATCCCTAAATTTGACTAACATGCTGTGAAATTGAAATCTCAAGATTGTATTGATTACATTGAAAATTTATTGACAAATATTCTTTCCTTTTCTCGTAGATTTATCTAAAAACAGACTGGTTGAAGTTCCAATGGAATTGTGCCATTTTGTATCACTGGAAATTCTTAATCTATATCACAATTGTATCAGAGTCATTCCTGAGGCCATCGTTAATCTGCAGATGCTGACTTACTTAAACTTAAGGTGGGTTAACTATAAATGTTGTCATCACATTCAATTTAAAAATACAAAAAAATTATGCTTTAAATTCTCTCAGGTTTTCTTCCCCCTCCTTGCAGTTCCTGATCACCCTTTGAAATAAATCCCACAAAGATCATTTAAGAAATATCTTTTGTAACATGTTTGTAGTGCCATTGATATTGTTCTTTGTGCTATATTTTCCTGGATGACAATGTGACAAGGTGTGTTTTTGTTTGTTTTTAAGGATTTATATTGCATCATTTATACTCCTTATCTGTTTGGTACTTCTAAAGTTGTGGGTATATTGTCTTCAGATATTGAAGTGGATTTTGGAGGAGGAAGAGTAAAGGGACTGAAAAACAATTTGAGATTGAGACAGGTCAGGAGCAAGAAAAGAAAAGCCTTGCGGGCCTTTGAAAGCTATTGGTACCATTGGACTTTGCCATCTAGTACTGACTAAACCTGCTCACTTTAAGTCACCTCAGGAAGTGTAGGAGGAGCACTGAGCAACTCCAGTTAGACACAGGCACACCTCGGACATACTGTGGGTTCAGTTCCAGAATAAAGTGAATATCGCAATGAAGTGAGTCACACGAATTTTTTGGTTTCCCAGTGCATATAAAAGTTATGTTTACACTATACTGTACTCTTTTAAGTGTGCAATAGCATTATTTCTAAAAAAGCAATGTACATATCTTAATTAAAAAACACTCTATTGCTAAAAAATTCTAGCCATCATCTGAGCCTTCTGCAAATCACGATCTTTGCCGGTGAAGGGTCTTGCCTTGATGTTGATGGCTGCTGATTGATCGGGGTGGTGGTTGCTGAAGGTTGGAATAGCTGTGACAATTGCTTGGAATAAGACACCAGTGAAGTTTGCTGCATTGATTGACTCTTCTTTCACAGGAGATTTCGCTGTAGCATGGAATGCTGTTTGATAGCACCACTGGAGAACTTCTTTCACAGCTGGAGTCAATCCTCTCAAACCCTGCTGCTGCTTTATCAACTAAGTTTATTTAGTATTCTGTCCTTTGTTGTCATTTCAATAATGGTCGCAGCATCTTCACCAGGAGTAGATTCCATCTCAAGAAACCACTTTCTTTGCTCATCCATAAGAAGCAACTCCTCATCCATTAAAGTTTTATCATGAGATTGCAGCAATTCAGTCACACCTTCAGGCTCCACTTCTAATTATAGTTCTCCTGCTGTTTCCACCACATCTGCATTTACTTCCTCCTCTGAAGTCTTGAACCCTTAGTCATCCATGAGCATTGGAATCAACTTCTACCAAACTCCTGTTAATGTTGATATTTTGACCTCCTCCCATGAATCATGAATGTTCTTAATGGTATCTAGGATGGTGAATCCTTTCCAGAAGGTTTTCAATTTACTTTGCCCAAATCCATCAGAGAAATCACTATCTATGGCAGCTATAGCCTTAGGAAACGTATTTCTTAAACAAGACTTGAAAATCGAAATTACTCCCAGACTTGTGGGCTACAGAATGGATGTTGTGTTAGCAAGCATGAAAACAACATTAATCTCCTTGTACATCTCCAGAACTCTTGGGTGACCAGATCATTGTCAGTGAGCAGTAATATTTTGAAAGGAATCTTTTTATCTGAGCAGTAGGTCTCAACAGTGGACGTAAAATATTCAGTAAACCATGTTGTAAACCATTGTGCTGTCATCCAGGCTTTGTTGTTTCATTTATGGAGCACAGGCAGAGTAGATTTAGCATAATTCTTAAGGGCCCTAGGATTTTCAGAATGATTAACGAGCAAGGCTTCCACTTAAAGTCACCAGCTGCATTAGTGAGAGAGTTAGCCTGTCCTTTGAAGCTTTGAAGCCAGGCATTGACTTCTCCTTCCTAGCTATGAAAGTCCTAGATGGCATCTTCTTCCAATATAAGGTTGTTTCATCTACACTGAAAATCTGTTGTTTAGAGTAGCCACCTTCATCAATCATCTTAGCTAGATCTTCTGGATAACTTGCTGCAGCTTCTACATCAGTACTTGCTGTTTTACCTTGCACTTTTATGAGATGGCTTCCTTCTTTAAACTTCACGAACAACTTCAAACTTTTCTTCTGCAGCTTCCTCACCTCTCAGCCTTCACAGAATCAAAGAGAGTTAGGGCCTTGCTGTGGATTAGGCTTTGGCTTAAGGGAACGTTGTGGCTGGTTTGATCTTCTATCCAGACCACTAAAACTTTCTCCATATCAGCAATAAGGCTGTTTCGCTTTCTTATCATTCGTGTGTTCACTAGAGTAGCACTCTTCATTTCCTTCAAGCATTTTTCCTTAAACTTGGCTGTTTGGTGCAAGAGGCCTAGCTTTTGGCCTGTCTTGACTTTCAACATGCCTTCCTCACTAAGCTTAATCATTTCTAGCTTTTGATTTAAAGTGAGAGGTACAACTCTTCCTTTCACTTGAACACTTAGACGCCTTTGTAGGGTTGTTAATTGCCTTCATTTCGATATTGTCATGTCTCAGAGAATAGGGAGGCCCGAGGAGAGGGAGACAGGGGAACGGCCGGTCGGTGGAGCAGTCAGAACACACACACGACATTTATCAGTTAAGTTTGCTGTCTCGTATGGACACGGTTCATGGAGCCCCAAAACAATCATGATAGTAACATCAAAGATAACTGATCACAGATCACCATAACAGAAATAGTAATAATGAAAAAGTTTGAAATATTGTGAGAATTATGAAAATGTGACACAGAGACATGAAGTGAGCACACGCTGTTGGAAAAATGGTGCCGACAGACTTGCTCTACGCAGGGTTGCCACAAACCTTCAACTTGTAAAAAACACAGTATGTGCAAAGCGCAAGAAAGCTAAGCTCAGTAAAACGTGGTATGCCTGTATAAAATTTACCATCTTTGTAGCCCTTTAAGTGAGGTAAGCATTTCCTGAGTAACACATCAATGCCTCTGAATAGCCCTGGAGTTAAGAACATCAGTTATTTTAAGCCTTGGTTTTAGACTTTGCTCCTGTGTGATTGCTCCCGTTGCTGGCCAAACTCTGGCTCCTTGTTTTCTAAATTCATGAATCACATCTGGGATGTCAGGAGAGAAAGAAAGGAGCTGTTTTACCAAATCTGTCTCTCCTATAAAAACTAGGCTCCAGAGTTGAAGCCTGAATAAAGCCTTCACTCATATCGGTTGTACCATCTTGGTGTGTAAGATGATAATGAGGTACGGTGCCTCATTACCAAAGCTTGTGCTGTGTAGCACATATACAGAACTTTTAAAGTTCAGAATCCCCGATGAACCATGTATAGCATCAGCTTATGATAGGTAATAATGTCAGTTACTTCTTAGTTTTTTTTTAGCTGGCCACTGAATTATGGGCTTTCTCCTGCTTTGCAGCCAAAAATGGGCTTCCCTTGAGTTTCCATAGGAATGTCTACCTCCTTCCTTGGGGTTTAGAAAAAGCATGCGCTTATTTTTAAGTGCCCTTATCTTTTTGGTAAATAAGATGTAGGTTACTGTTAGGATAATCTATAACAAATATCTAATCTTCACTTCTATAGATTTCTAGTTCATGCAGCCATTTTGAGCTTTATTGCCTAAGAATAGTCCAAGCTGTTTCTGTCACAAGAATGTTAATTACCTTGGAATTTCCTGGTGGAGCCAGCACAGTAGTGTCTATAGAATTTGGCCCAGTATCTCTCTAAGACATCCGTCCTCTGTCATCCCAACCCACAAGAGCATATGTAGTTGGTCTCTTTACTTGTTGTTGTTAACTGACTTCAGTTTGGCCCTTGACTCAAGATGACCCCATGCACAACAGGATTGAACTGTTGTAGCTGTCGTGGTTAGGTGTCATTGACTCATGGTGATCTTATGTATAACAAACAGAAGGAAATGCTGCCCAGTCTTAGGCCATCTTCATGATCGTTGGTATGTTTGAGTCCATTGTTACAGATACCGTATCAGTCCATCTCATTGAAAGTTTCCCTTGTTTTCACTGACCTTCTGCTTTACCAACCATGACGTCCTTTTCTAGTGAGTGGTTTTTCCTGATGATGTGTCCAAAGTAAGCAAGCTGAAGTCTCACCATCCTCACTTCCAAGGAGCATTCTGGTTGTATTTCTTCTAAAACTGATGTGTTCCTTCTTCTGGCAATCCTCAGTATATTCAGTATTCTATATCAACATCACAATTAAAATGCATCAATTCTTCTTCTGTCTTGCTTTTTTATTGTCCAGCTTTTGCACGCATATGAGGCAATTGAAAAGACCATGGCTTGGGTCAGGTGCATCTTAGTCATTAAAGTGATATTTTTGCCTTTTAAAACTTTAAAGAAGTCTTTTGCAGAAGATTTGCCTATACAGTATGTCATTTGATTTTTTAACTGCTGCTTCCGTGGGTGTTGATTGTTGATCCAAGAAGATTAAAATTGCCTGACAACTGGGTTTAATTTACAAGGAGAAAATCTTCCCTCTGAAATGTAGTTAAAAACATTTAAATGTTTTCCACATTTTCTCACAAGTTAGAAATGTCACATTTGTGGAAAAATATTAATTTATTGCTGTTTATGTAGTCTGTGTTTGAAGGATCTGGGCTTTTAATTTTTCCTTCTTGGTGTTCACATCAAAAGGTTATGTGTGGTTTAGTATATGTGCCACTGTGTCTCTTCCTGTTATACAGTGTCTTGATCCAGGAAATGTATCCAAGAACAATAACAACGATTAAGCAAGACTTGGTATAGGAACAAACACTTTGAACTTGAACCTCACAAAGTTCAAAATCTATTTTAAGTTGTTGAAGAGATTGTTGTTGATGAGGCCCACGAAGAAAATGTACTTTAGGAAAATAGAATAACCTGGAGTAATAAAACTCTTGGCAACAGTAGGGGTGTTGTGAATCTAAGAGTAGGGAACTTGGCTTGCAAGTTTCATCTCAGAGAGGTACAGGAAGAGAGGTTGCCCCAAAATGAAAGTTCTTTACAGCATTTGATCATATTGCTTCTAGAACTCTTGTTGAGTGGTTT